GAAATTGACTGAGATAACTAATAATAATGAGATAACTTGTTTCTAAAGGTTTTATACTGAGTTACAAGTGATTGGTTTTTTTTCTAATTATAAAGTGGAATTATGTGTTTACTTTTATTTTCATTTGTTAAATGGATTCACTGCTCTGTGTAACTGTTTTACTTTTTCAGATAGGTTTTTAGGGTGTGATAATGAGTGATTGTGTTTTGTTTTTGAACCTAATGGAGGATTATTGTATTGAGTAAGTATATACTATTTCATCCAACTGAAATACACTGGGTAAATGTATTTTCAAATAAAGGTAGAAAATAAGCTATTATTTTATGTGATCCTAAAACATATCTTCGCCATTCTTTCTTCCCAATCTGTCTTGATCTTGCTGTTTTTAACTTTTTTTCAAAATCCATGCTTCATATGTTCAGGTTTTGATGATTTTTATAGTTGCTTGGGTCACTCTTACGATGAGATGCCTTACTGTGAAATAGTTCTTCATAATTAACATTTGATTTTCTTTTGTGCTAGCCTTTTACCCATTTTTCCATTTTAGACGTCTCTATTTAGAAGACTATTCAAAAGCCACAATTTTCAATTGTTATACTGTCTTAGTGTCACTTGGCTCCTACTCAGTTTATATATTAACCTGGGAATGTTTATTAACAACTTATAAAATTAGATTCGGGGGGAGGGGGGCATCCTATACAATTCCTTTATTGTGAGATGCTTGTTTTTTGGGTACTTACCTTGCAATATCTTTCTTAGAAAGTTCTAGTTCTTTTGAGTTGCAGAGCTCTGAATAGCCATTGTTCCATGTTCATATGATCTTTCAAACAACATTGCAAAAAGTTATTTCTGTTTCTCCTTGTCCTGGACTTCCTGTATTATTGATTACACAAGTTTCATGTATTGGTGGGTATTTCTTTTCTTCCTCTAGTTGCTGTCTTTTTTTCTAACTGATAGCTCTACCACTTTTTGGGGTGTTGATATTGATCAACTTCATCATAATTTATATCCTTCATTCCCTTTGGAGGCGAATACTCATCTGAGTATACATTAAGTATTAGCTATACTTACTTTTCTCTTCTTGATCTGTTTTCAAATGAGATTGTTCTCATTCAATAATTCAGACTGTTGTGGCATCCTGAAATTAAATAACTCATTTTGAGGTTTGTAACTGAAAACCTTGTTGCATGCTGTCACATACTAAAGATGTACTAAAGTTTTTAAGAAATTATTGCTGAGTTAAAGTGGATGACCATTATGGGCACTACTGTTTTTTTAATTAGCTTCTTGCAAGGTACCATATTCATGATCTTTGGAGCTCTTAAACCTTTCGAGCTGGGTCACAGGTAAAAGGCCATGTCATCTTGTTTGTTGACATGCATTCAGAATTTTATTGAACTACTATTTCATGAATTTATGTCAATACATTTGGTATCAAACT